ACCATAATTTATAGCCATTGATCAGAACTACAGATGACAATCTGAGACTTGTAATTGGCACCTGAAGTTGGGCCAGCCTTGTAGTACTGTTCCCTTAACCTGCACAGTCCTGTGGGACTGTACCCTTAACCTGTAGGAAGGTCTACGCAAACTCTGGTTAGTGTTAGAGTTGAATTGAATTGTAGGATATCCAGCCGGTTTTTTGATAACTGGCTGATGGGGGACAAACTCTCACACACATCTGGTTACAGAAGTGTTATATTTTGAGAGCAAAGTAGTAGAAAATCATTGGTTTGGGCTGGGTGTGGTGGCTCATACCTATAATCCCAGGATTTTGGGAGGCCAAGGCAGTCAAATCAGGAGGCCAGGAGTTCAAGACCAGCCTGGCCAACATAGTGAAACCTCATATCTACCAAGAGAAAAAAATACAAAAAATTAGCCGGGCATGGTGGCGGGCACCTGTAATCCCAGCTACTCAGGAGGCTGAGGCAGGAGAATTGCTTGAACCCAGGAGGCGGAGGTTGCAGTGAGCCAAGATCATGCCATTGTACTCCAGCCTGGGTAACGGAGAAAGACCTTGTCCAAAAAAAAAAAAAAAAAAAAAAAGAAAAGAAAAGAAAAAGAAAAAAAAGAAAATCATTGGTTTGGTTTTCTTATTAACACAATGTAAGTTATTCATAGTATTGATTCGATTTTCTAAATCTCCACAGTGTCTGTACTTGGGTTTCCTTTTTCAGTCATAATATTGTACTCCCTTTTTTTTTTCCTTAATCAGTCTTATTAGGTTTGCCTATTTTATTCACTCCTTTCTATAACAAACTTTTGGCTCTGTTATTTATCTCTAATTGTATTTTTGTTTTATATTTTGGTGTTTTCTTCTCTTTATTGGTTCCTTCTTTTTGCTTTCTTTGGATTTATTTCTTAGTTTGAATAACTAGCCCTTAAGTTAAATACCTAGTCCTTTAGTTCCCAACTTTTGTTTCTAATATGAAATTTAAGGTATAAATTCACCCCTAAGAACCACTTCAGTTGCATCTCACTTTTTTAGTAATATTATCATTTAATTCTAAGCATTTTCTCCTGTTCATCATTTTTCTTCTTTGAAGTAATAATTAAATTATTTCTAGCCCTAGCACACTGGCTCATGCTTGTAATGACCACACTTTGGGTGGCCAAAACGAGAGGATCACTTGAAACGAGAGGATCACTTGAGCTCAGCAGTTCAAGACCAGCCTGGGCAACACAGGGAGACCCTGTCTCTATGAATAATTTTTAAAAATTAGCTGAGCATGGTGGTGCGCATCTGTCATCCCTGCTACTCAGGAGGCTGAGGCAAACACCTGATCCTGGGATGTCGAGGCTGCAGTAAGCCGTGATCATGCCACTACCCTCTGAACCAAGCAACACAGCAAGACCCTGTCTCAAAAAAAAAAAAAAAATATATATATATATATATATATATACACACATACATATAGCTCCAACGTCTTTGGGATAATATTATCATTGATTTCTGTGGTTGATGATGCTATTCAGCTACCCAATGTCCATTCTCTCTTCATCCTTTGTAACAAAACCCTAAGTTTGAGGCAGCAATGTGCCCAGTTAATAGACCATATTTCCCAGCCTCTCTTGCAGCTAAATCTGACCACAAGACTAAGTTCTAACAAATGAGATATGAAGTACTAAGCACCCGAAACTCAAAATATTCTCCAAGCACAACTACTGATGATCTCCACCAAAAATCTATTCTCAAAATCCCCTCTACTTTCACCTCCTTCCACTCCAGGTTTTTGGAGTCACAAACCTAGAAGTCTTTCTTGATTCCTCTTTTCTTCATATCCCACATCCTAGCCATTACAATATCCTATCAGCTCTGCCTCCAAAATCTTTCTAAAATCGAATCACTTCTTTGTTACTCAACTAATTTGAACTTACACCTAACTACCACTGCCTCACTGGAATATCCTAATACTTCCTATGGGACTCAAAATCTCTTTCTTCCAGAAAATTTATCCTGAATACAGGAGCCACTGAATCTCTTAAATGTAAATCAGATGATTCCATATCTGGCTTAAAATGAACTTTCATTATGGCTTCTGCTTGAAAGCCAGAAGAAAAGATAAAACTCCTTTCATTGGCCACCAGGGCCCATGTAATCAGATACCTACCAATTCCTCCAACCACTCCTTTGCTATACACTTTCAGCTGCATTGACGTTCTCCTGCTCTTAATCATGCTCCGTTCAGCCTGCCTCAGGCTGCCTGGTCTTGCTGCTTAGAGCAATCTGTCTCCACGAACTTTCTGCTGACCAGAACTTTACCTGGTTGCCTCTTTCTCATAGTTCAAATATCATCCTCCCTCACATGCACACGTATGTTCATTGTAGCACTATTCACTGCTAAGACAAAGAACCAACCTAAATGCCCATCAATAGTGGACTGGATAAGGAAAATGTGTTACATATACACCAAACACTATGCAGCTATAAAAAAGAACAAAATCACATCTTTTGTAGCAACATTGATGGAGCTGGAGGCCATTATCCTAAGTGAATTAACATAGGAATAGAAAACCAAATAGTGCATGTTCCCACTTGTAAGTGGAAGCTAAACATTGAGTACACATGGGCACAAAGAAGAGAACAAAGGACACCAAGACCTACCTAAGGGTGGAGGGTAGGAGAAGGGTGAAGACTGAAAAACTCCCTATGAAGTTCTATGCTTATTACCTGGGTGATGAAATAATTTGCACACCAAACCCCCATGACATGCAATTTATTTATGTAACAAACCTGCACATGTACCCCCTGAACCTAAAATGAAAGTTGGAAAGAAAACAAATGGCATTACTATATGATCCAGCAAACTCGAAGAATAAGAAGAAGAAGAAGAGGAAGAGGAGGAGGAGGGAGGAGGAGTGGGGAGGAGGGGGGAGGAGGGAGGAAGAGGGAGGAGGAGGAGAAGGACCTTTCCTGACCACACCACCCTAGCAAAAGCAGCACCCTCCTCCCACCCCAAGTGACCTTCAACCTCATTACCACCAATTTACAGTTTTCATAGCACAGCAGTTTTCTGGAATTACCTGAATTACCTGACTTATTTGTCTGATAATTTCCCATTATTTATGTTGTTCACTATTGATGAACAACATAAAAAGAAAGATTTTTTTCTCCTAAAAAGAAAAATTTTTGCTTTTAGTATCTGACTATTGTTAGGTGGTCATTAAATACAATATATAAGATATAATACTGGAATACATACACACAGACACAGAGAGACACACACACATACACAACACAGGTTCTCTGATATACATGATAGTATGTAACACATAATATATGTTTAATATATATGCTATACAATATCTGATGTACAGTGCATAATATACAATTAATAATATACAATAAAGTGTATGGCAGTCAATATACAGTGTTTACTATATACAAGGACAAATAATATTAAAGTATTTTAAAAATATACATCTTAAAATTTTTCAGTCCTACTTCTATAATTCCTCCAAAGCCACAAAAACACAGAAAGGAAGAGAGAGAAGAAAGAGAGAGGAAGAGATGACTCAATCTGAAAGAGGATCTAGCTGATGCCAAGCCCTGATCTATACAGGACAGCACTCACTTCCCTGTTCTAACTTAAGCTATCAGAAGAAAGGAGTGGGCACCCAGGGGGCACTGGTCTGTGAGCTTCAGAGGTATCGTCTTGCTGTGGTATGAGCTAAGTGCCGGCTCTCATTGTCACCTGCACTACTCCTTGATGAGAGAATGAATCTGTGGTTCCCTTTCATGAACTGTTGCCTTCTATGAGCCTAGACATATACCAGTTGTAGAATAGTAGCAATAAAGGGACTTGGCTGGGCCTGTTTCCTTTCCAACATAGTTCATTCTGGGAGTCATGGAATCCCTCAGCTGCACAGATCCTTGAAGTCCAAATGAACATATAACTAATGAAACAGCATATTTCAGGTGCCTTACTTAGATATATTCCTCTGCTTAGGGCAAAGTAAGAACAGTAAGAAAATCAGGTCATGTCTTTCAACTAGGTCATGTTTTTCATCTTTTCTACTATTGGCCTTTTTCATTAATCTTAAAATGTTATTTTCTACATTTTTGATTGCTACTCCTGAATTGTATTTCCAGTCACCATAAGCTACTTTTCTGCAAGCTGTAATTTAAGCCCATCTTGCTCACAAATTTTGAAAATGGAAATCCATAGAAGAGAAAACTATCTCCTCCTCATGTGCTTGGGATGTTGTGATTTCATCAGTGTTGCTGGGCTGTGTGGTCCTTTTTAGAGGAAGTTGCAATTCCCTTCATGATAAATAGGAAGGAAATGAAGGTGATTAAAGCCCTTAGGATGTAAATTTCAGTGTTGGCTGAATGGTTCTTTTTATCCCAATCATGATTTTGTAAACAAAGCTCTGGTGAGACTGAGTCTGGAAAGCTACCACAGCTCCATGACAACTGGACTGGCCAGCCATGGTGACCATCTCCATGTTCACATTGTAGTCATTTACAGCCATGCATATGCACATTGTAGGGACACTCACTTTGGCTCTCACCAAGAAAAAGAGCATTAGCAACCAATTAGTAGAAGGTGGCACAGGAGAGAGGCACTACTAACAGGTCAACTTTGTGCCTAGTGAACTCAGCTGTTAATTTCTATGCATGACGGTAAGATAAAATTATTGCCCTAGTTTCTGTATGTTGGCTACACACAGGCACTGCCAACACCCCTAATGCACTGTGATTTCTGTGCTTGGACATCAGATGTATGATACCGGTTTTTCTCAGTGTACATATGTGTGTAAAGAATAAAGAGGTAGCATGACTCTCAAACAGAGATCCAAGATTTTCTAAATTAAAAAAATCCTTTACTAGTTATAAAATCAAAAAATACAAAGGAACAAATCTTATGTGTAAAGCAACTGAACCCAAAAGGATGGCACCATGGAGCCGCCCTGCACATAGCACTCTGCTGACTCACCTTTGCGTGGGGTGGGCTTCTGTCCCACAGGGTGGCACTGCTCACAATGGGAATGTAGCAAGCGGATTTCTGAAAGATTAGAAACAAGGCATTTAGTATCACTTCAGTGATTCTTAAAAAGAAACATTTTCACTCCTGAGATGGTTTTTAGGTAGATCAGAAGTTAATTCTTTCAACCCATGGCTGTTCATTCACTGAGTACCCAATATTGCCCAGAATACTGTCCCAGGTGCTTTGGGAACAATGGTGAGCCCAAAACATAATTTCCATCCTCAAGAGTCCAGGAGGCCACAGGTAGTAATGAAATAATCACACAAATAAATGTAAAATTTCAACTCTGATACGTGTGATGAAAGAGAGAGACAAAGTATTTTGAAAATATGGTGATATATTGGGATGAAATAGAATTAAACTTTTACACTCTTTTCCATGTGACTTTGATGTACCTCCCATAGCCTGAAGCCCATCCCAGCTGAGCCCAGTGCAGCCATAGTCAACCCACAGGCCCATGAACATAAATAAGAAGTGAACGTTTCTTGTTGAAAGTCACTTATTTGGAGTTGCTTGGCATGTGGAATTATCATTGTAGAAACCTATGACTGAAACATATATACAATACATATAATAAATATACTCAGTGAAGTCAGAAGAGGTAACCGCTGGGGATCTCACAATGGAAAGAACAATTTTACTTAAATATCAAACCAGACATTTGATTTGAAGCTTACTTGCAATTTTACTTAAAATATCAAACCTTATCCATCTGCATGACAGCAGGTTATATATATATAGATACATAGATATATAAAACCTTAATAAGATAATATCAGGATTTGTTTTCAAACTTCTGGTTTTCAATTTGGTGTTTTTTATTTAGTTAGTTAGTCATGCTCTTCAGGGTCTTTGACTCTTTGTTCCCCAATATTTGCTAAAACCAGTCTGTTAAGGCTGGTGTCATGAAGGAGAGATCCCCAAAAAATCTATCACTAGGATATGTCAGAAAAACAATGTATATGTTAGAAAAACAATGGAGGCCGGGCGCGGTGGCTCAAGCCTGTAATCCCAGCACTGTGGGAGGCCGAGGCGGGTGGATCACAAGGTCAAGAGATCGAGACCATCCTGGTCAACATGGTGAAACCCCGTCTCTACTAAAAATACAAAAAATTAGCTGGGCATGGTGGCGTGTGCCTGTAATCCCAGCGACTCAGGAGGCTGGGGCAGGAGAATTGCCTGAACCCGGGAGGCGGAGGTTGCGGTGAGCCGAGATCACGCCATTGCACTCCAGCCTGGGTAACAATAGCGAAACTCCGTCTCAAAAAAAAAAAAAAAAAAAAACAATGGTAAGTCTGCCACTACATTTCCCAGAGGTGATTAGAGTCTAAAGCAAGAGGTAGTAACCAAAGAATCACACAAATAAAGGTAAAATTCCCATAACACTAAATGTTATGAAGGTATAGACATAGGTAGAGTCAAGTCACTATTATGTTGACTTAGATGATGGACTGGGGACCTAAATGGAGACAAAAGTGGAAGAAGAAACAAGAGCTTTCTGAGATCAAAGTACCATGACTGACAGATGACAACAAGAGAAGTGGTAGGGGTTCCCAGGTGGCAGAAGTAGGTAAAATTACTAGAATCTGGAACAAATAATTGGGGAGCATAATAGATTTCACAGCACTGAAGTTAAGTAGTGCTACCACTATGATGCATTTATACTGCCTGTCAAGGACAGGTGGGGCGCATGGGCCTCCCTGATATGTTCTCCCATGAGGTCAAGAAAATGTGTCTTCTGCCTAGTATCCCTCACATCAACTCTGTGTTGGGCACATGGTAAGCATTCAATTAATGCACTTAAAGAATGCAGGGACACTCTCCTCTCATCCCAAAAGGAGTCACAGGGTGCGAAACCTGAAGAAATTCTAAATTGCCAACATTTGCACTTGATAGATGAGGAAACTGCTGGAGATCACACAACCATGTAGTGATAAGCCAGGGCTCAATTTTTAGAATCTGGACTTTGTATTCTACCCATCGTCCTCTGTTGGGTTATAGGCACACATGCACAGCCTTCAAACCCCAGCTGCCTGGTTTGATTGGAAAAGCAGCCCCATGTCTGCAGGGAGGGGAAGAAACTTCATTTACAAAGCAAGAATCGCCAGCAGGAAAATCAGGCCCATCCCCATAATATGCATCTCAGTTCTCCTCCATGGGCTTCCTGGCACTCACTCAAACCATGTACATTCACACATCTGGTATCTTCCAATTAGGCAACCTTTGCCCAGGGCAGTTAGCACCAAGCACTGAATGCTGTCCCAAACCATTCTGCTCTGATACTTTTTTTTTTGTTTTAGTGGAGATTTCTTAGTGCCACTCCTAAGAGCTATTCAAGTTGTGGATGGCACAGCAGGGTGGCATCATTCACAGAGACTGGGATGCCAAAACAATACCCCTTGGGGTTGTTTGTGTACCACCTGACCATCTATACAAAACAGTTCTGATATTTCTGTTCTCTGAAGAACAAGACTTTACGGTAGCCAATAGCCCAAGGAAATCATGTACATTACAATTGTTTTGGTTTTTAAATTTTTTATAAAGCATTATTGAGATATAATTTATGTACAAATGACTGCATATATTGGAGGTATCTGCAGGAAGAAAGAACAATTAGGGAATGTAAGTAACTTAGAAACCTTGAATTTTTAAGCAAGACCAGGAGTCCAGAAAGAAAGAGACTAGCAGTACAGGTAGAATTTCTTGGTAAACAAAAAAGCTATTGTAATCAACAAGGCAAAAATAAATAAAAAGCTTGAAAGAATAAAGTAGCTGGGATATTCATTGCCAGTCATTAACCTGATTTTCTAATGAATATAGTATTAGGCATTCATTAACAATCATTTGTGTTTATGTTGAACAGTGGATGTATAATGAAGGTTGGTAAATGAAAGCAAAATTAAACCAGGGAATTTTGGACACTTATAAAGCAATTAACTTGTTTGGCAGTAATTACACATTGAAAGCTAAATCAAGTGCATTTAGAAAGCCACAAGAGTCGCCACATAAACCAGAGGTGCTTTGCTCTAAAATAATAGAAAAGCCTCCCTTTCTTTCCAAATGAAAGAGAAAGGCAAAAGTATGGTATAAATGACAAACAAGGCTCAGGTCTAATGAAAAGAAATATGGTTACAGCCCATATGTTAGAGAAGAGGCAAGTTACGAAAAAATAGGACAGCTCAGCTAATTAAAAGAGAAAAAAAAGCCTTTTGTAACAACAATGATGTGAAAACAGGTGGCATGTGCTAGAGAGTTCAAGTTTTTGTTCTGTTCACGCCCACAGGCATGCACACTCACGCAAGCGCACACACGCATCTATACACTTGAACCACCTAATAGGTATGTGAGGAATAAAAACCGAATCCACCATCAGGTCCTTGGAAGGCCACAATATCTCAGTAGCAGGTCTTTGTCACTGACGATTTTGTAACATGATTCTCCAGATGAGTGTTTGACCACAGGCTTTTATTCGACCTAGCACACGGCATTAGAGGTCAGTCATTAAACACACTCCAGGACTCTGTTATTTAAAAAGGAGAAATGAATAAGGTACTATGGAAAATATAAAGGTGAGACCCAGGGAGAAACCATTACTGAACTGGTGATAAAGCAAAAGAAATAAACATAAAATTCCTTGCATCCACAAGATTCATCAACAGAAATGTTAGTATAAAAATGCATTTAAGAGCCAATGAGCCTTTCAGATAAGGAATGAATTTTCTCAGAATTTTCAACCCTACAATATACTAGTCAAGAAATGCTACAGACGTACTGTTTTTGTGTATCTGTACATGTGGAGGTGCAAGTTCCAATGGGATCGTAAGGCTGGAGGAGAGAGTCTTCAGGTGAGCCCAAAGGTCTGAGCAAAGGGATCAAGTTTTTCAAACTGGAGTCTTGACCATGCTCCTCAAAAAGATCTGAAGATTCATGACCTCTTTCCATCTGACAAGTACCTTCACAAATAGGGAATTGTAGGCTCCTGAGGGTTAGTAACCAAAAGAAAAGTTCCCAGGGGGATCTACAAAGGGCAGCTGGCTTTGTGGAAACATTTGCGAAGAGCTTGGGTGTCAACTATGCTGAAAACAAATACTTGCTTTGCCTCTGAGATTGGAATGGAAACCAGGAGATAGCTTTTGAAATCCTTGCTTTGGTCATTAAACTGCTGCCAAATAAAAAACGTGTTTGCCTTGACGTGGGGTAGTGCATTTCTTTCTAAAGAAGTGGTCTCTCTTTAAAAAAGTCATTTTCTATCCAAGCAGAGGAACAAGGCATTAAGATGAAAAACTTATTTCTCACTTATTTGAACCCTTTTTAAATATTTAGGTTGTCTACTTAGTTCTAATCTAATGTGGGTTGTTTCATTTGCAGTTTACTTGGTTAGAAAATTACTGCCTGATTTTGGCCAAGATCTTATCAATACACCACTGTACTATTTTATTATCTTTACAACAGACCCATTGCCTTTCCCTGAGACTTCACAGGCAAAGGCATTTAAATATCAATAAATTCAGGGAATACAGTATTCTTGAAGGCACCTACTACTAATCCAGGGCTTCTTACATTTTATTGTACATCAAAATCACCTGAGGAGTAGTTAAAATGCAGATCTAATTTAGGAGGTCTAAAGGAGGGCCTGAGATTCTTGTTTTATAACAAGCTACCAGATTACGTTGGTTCCGAAACAGCTCCCAGGTGATGTTGATCTACTGATCAACATCAGTAGAAAGTAGATAGCTGCTTTTGAGAGGATATATGGTCAGGACCAGACATAACTGAAGCCCTGGAAATAGATCAGTTCTTCTCCAAGAAGAGAACTGGATGGTGTAATGATCAGAAATTAAGCAATAGAGAAATATCCATTAAAGATGAAATATACAAGGAAGGGGTCTGGTCACCACTGCTTCTAATCATCTATGTTTCCCAGCTGCCATGGCTTTGCCAATGCTTTTCTCTCCACTTGTCCAGATGTTGAGATCAAGACAATTCAGCTTATCAAAAAGCTATTGGTTTGCCATTGT